CTCTGTGAATAACTCACTCGTTCTCTGTCATCATTCCACTTATTGCATTATTATCTCAGCTATTCTGACAAAGCTCTGTGAATAACTCACTCGTTCTCTGTCATCATTCCACTTATTGCATTATTATCTCAGCTATTCTGACAACATTCTGCGAATAACTCGCTCTTTCTCTGTCATCATTCCACTTATTGCATTATTATCTCAGCTATTCTGACAACATTCTGCGAATAACTCGCTCTTTCTCTGTCATCATTCCACTTATTGCATTATTATCTCAGCTATTCTGACAACATTCTGCGAATAACTCGCTCTTTCTCTGTCATCATTCCACTTATTGCATTATTATCTCAGCTATTCTGACAACATTCTGCGAATAACTCGCTCTTTCTCTGTCATCATTCCATTTATTGCATTATTATCTCAGCTATTCTGACAACATTCTGCAAATAACTCGCTCTTTCTCTGTCATCATTCCACTTATTGCATTATTATCTCACCTATTCTGGCAACATTCTCCGAATAACTCACTCTTCCACTTTCATCATTCCACTTATGGATCGCATTCCACTTATTATCAAGGCATAGCAAAACAAGGACCGCAATGTAAATAAGTGTGCTAGTCATGCTTTTTGTGTATATATCCTTGGAAGTTATCCAATTTTATGAATTCATAATTTTATTGTAAAAGTATGCTATGTATTGTATATGATGGATAATTGCCTAAAGAAATAAATAAATAAAAATAAATAAACATTATGTGAATAACTCACTCTTTCGCGTCACCCTGCGGAAGTAATGCAGCAGGGTCTTCAGCTTCTCCAGCTTACGGCCGCCGCCGCCGCCGCCGCTGCCGCCGCCGTGCCCACTACCCGAATAGAGGGCGCTGAAGTTTATCGTCGGGAAGTTCTGATACTCGCACTGTTTGCTCGTGGAGTTGCGACGTGGGAACGTGCAGAAGAAGGCGTTGGCAAGCAGGCACGCCACCTGGTGCTGACTGAACGTCAAGCTGTGTGTGCAGCCATGCTTCAGCAGTCGTATCGGCTGTGTGCAAGTGAGGTCACAGGTACACGACAGGTATGCAAGCGTAAATCACAAATAAACAACAGGTAATAATACGCAGTAAATCACAGGTAGACAACAGCTGTACTAAATACGCTCTGCACATCTCTCTCGCACTCTACAGGTAATGCTGCATCAATACTAAGGCCTCTCACGCGGGTCACGACCAGGGAAAAAATCCCTTTTTTTTCACGAGAGCTCTTTTTCAAGTCTGTGGGAAAAATAGTTCTTGTCAATAACTTTACGGGAGCTATTTGAGCCTCACGGGAGCGATTTCGGAGGTTTGAAGAGCGAATCGCTCATCGCTCCCGTGTATTTTTTACCCTGGTCACGACGAAAGGCAGCTGTAGCGCGAGTTCGGCCATCTTGGGCAGCGTGTAGCGCAAGATGTCGTCTGCCTCGCGACGACTCAGCCGGTCTGTGAAGAGCTCATGCAGGCTGCCGAACGTCCAGCGTGCAGCATAGCGTGCGTTATACACCAGTATCGCCTCCTACAGGACAAAAAAGTAATGAAACGTAAGACAGGCCAGCAGTTTTCAACAGCAGATGACTTTCACCAAAAATTTTGAACATTTGGTGAAGAAATTACAGTGTCTGTGGACTATACTAATCCAATAAATTAAAATATAAATCAACTGCATAATTTAGATGATTAATAAAATAAAACTGAAATAAAAAAAATAAAAAAATAAATAAATAAATGTAATGTAGTAACTACAACACACCTCTAAATCGAGGGAAGATTGCATATTTCCCAACAGCACAGTTTCAATCAGCTCCCATCGCATCTGTAAAGTCTTACCTCTCTGCTGAAACAAATTAAATAATTTGCATTCCTATTTCAAATCACACAAACGGCATGACAACTATCACACGAGGGTGTCATCTATCGTCATCTATCGTCATCTATCGTCATCTATCGTCATCTATCGTCATCTATCGTCATCTATCGTCATCTATCGTCATCTATCACTCCGAACTCTAACACATTTCATTATTCGTGTCATTCTAGGAAATAACTCACGTGTTGCATGATTATTTTTGGCATTTCCTTACCTGCGGCGATGTTTTAGGGTAGAGATTGTTGGAAGAACAGGGCATTCGAACGTGATTTTCATCCCACGCATCATGATACTTATCCGGGTGCGGGCAGGGAATTATCCCTGCTATGACTGGTGGCTGCAAAGAAGATAGGAACAAATCAGTTGATTGATACTAGGGACAGTGATTTTCAAAAAATGGCCTTTTTCGTTTGGGAAAATCATGAATTCCGTTTCAAAGGAAAGAAAAAATGGAAATTCCGTTTTGCCATAGAGATTGTACACACCCAAAATGCAAAATTCCATTTACATATATTTGCATGGAAATTTTTTTTTCGGTTAGCACTGAAACACAGGGCTACGAAAAGTCGTAATTGTAATTCATTTCGCTCTGAAACTTGTCTGAATGTAAACCATATCATTACCAATCCTATTGTCGATGGTTTTTGTGTGATTTTATTGAAATTTCCATGTTATAATATGTTCAAATTACGTTTTCCGCATTTTTTCCGTTTGAAAACATCTTTTCCGTTTCCAATGGCCGTTTCCGTGTTTTCCATCCGTTTTCCGCGATCGCGGAAAATCACTTTCCCTATAATACACCTACTCAAACACGAGACAAAATTCATGCAACCAGACAAACCTCCCTCTCGACACTCGAATAATATATCAAGGGGTCTGTTAACATAACTCTACAAACATATATTGACGTCAGTACAATTTTCTAAGTGTTTAGCTTTTAAAGCACACCGGCAACTAACCCTAATCAGAAGAGAGTGATCCCTGGAGGCTTCCAATTTGGATAGTGGAGCACTGCATGTGGGGGCATGGTTCAGCTCAGATAGTGCCACCCCTCTGCACTCCTCTGTCTTCACTCCTGCCTCCTCCTCCCTTATTGGTAAGATACTGCCATCCCTTAAAAGGTAAATAAATGACAATTTGTGCTCACTGTATGTTGTTACAAGGCTAGAAACATTTGGGAAAACTGAAACAAATAATTAAAACATAGCAGTATAGAATAATTAGAGTAGAGCACAATGCATTTAATTGGACACATTCAATGTGCTCTCATACCAACCAACACCAGTCAATCCTTCTCAAGTCATATCAAACTAATTAGAATTAACCACATTCAACACAAATGGCAGGAAGTGCGGTGAAACATTGCAAGATGTCACTTTCGATGCACTGCAAGGTGAAACCATGGATTGGCAGTGCAAGACTGCAATGTTTTCCAATTAAATCGGACCCACATATATAGAGAAATGCATACATGGAACTGTCGGTGAAGTTTATGAGGTTTAAGACGATTTGCATACCTTGGAGCTTGACTGCCATCTTGTTGAGAACCACCAGAAGGCGCATGTGTAGGTGACGACCCTGAGAAAGTAAGACAAGTAACTTTAAAGGCTCACAATGCGCATCCAAACGCTAATTTCTCACAGTACTAGACTAGCAAAGTTACATTCGGCATGCATAATCTACACTACCATTAATACAAAATAAACTTCTAATTCTTCCCATTTCACCTGCGGCGTTTGTTCTTAAAACCGCACAGAAAGAGGTCGAGAAGACGTTTTGCCATACAAAATTGCCTCGAAGGGTGACGTGACGTCACAGGATGTTTTATCTTTTGCTGCGCCCGACCGCTGTACGCAGCACTGCCCCGGGCGAGGTTGCTTTGGGGATTGGTGGGAAACTGTCAACACAACATCAACGAGAATTTCAACTCAACATTGAGGTGATTTCAAATTACGCTTTTATAAGACAACGTGCAGCTGAAATGGAGAACAGAGTTTATTTGTCATAAGTAGTGTGATTATGCATGCCAACGAAGTATTGCTATGTCTAAGTACTGGAGTAATTAGCGTTTTGATGCTTTCATCTATATTTTATACAGGTGACTCACTATTCATTCATTTATAACTTTCTCTTGCGCTGTTGTAAGCATGCAGTTTACATGTACATAGCTGCATATAAGAGAGGATATATAGAGTAAACATGAGTGAATATCATTGTGCATTATTTCTATCTTATTGTTTTATTTTTGAGTTTACACAGCCTAACTATAAACCTACTGATTTCATGTGTGTGTGTAGTTCCCCAACTACACTGTGGTAAATGTGTATTTTTAAATGCAAATGCATTCAACACATCGACTACCTTTTTGTGGCAATCGATTGTACACACCCTGGAGGCCTGACTTAGTCATTGAATCCTTCTCTTCATCAGGTCTCCTTTGTATCTAATCTGTTTGTCGCCATATTTTGTTGTGGTGTGGCGAAAGTCTCGGGAATATCCGTCACCACTGCTGAAACAGAACATTGAAGCGACGAAATCAACGACAAGACAATTAACACACAGTGAGAATAGCCACTGCCATGCTGGAGGAAATCCAGTGAATTACTGCCATGGCACCTACACTGTATACTACAGTGTTGTCCTGCCACTTAGTGTGGGGTATAGAGATGATTACATGCATAGACCCATGTATACTAGTACCATCACAAGTAGATCGGAGAAATATATATATATATACTATCTAGGCCGCGGGTACCCCGCTTCGGCTGGGTAAAATAAGTGCTACTAATCATACTACTTCAATGAATTTGACAGCAATAGGAAATGTAAAAATCGACAATATTAAATTGCACGACAATATGATATTTAGAAGATCAGTGTAATAAGAAATTAATAAGCATGGAAAAACTGTACGTATGACATTTATATGACACAGAACCAACCTCTTAGAACCCTGAAACATAATCAGTAGGCCTAATATGTGCAAATGAGAGAAAATTATTAATAAACAGCATGTACGAAGGGTGCAGTTTTCATTTGAAACCCTTGATAAACAATGGTTGCCGTCGTTATTGTGTGGTGGAAATATGTAAGAGATTGCTGCGTCTCGAACTGTGAGCTCATTGCAAGTACAGAACAGGCTATCCATTGTCAGTTTCGTAGATGAATAATACGAAATTGGTATATAGTATACATAAGAGACAGGCCAGCGAGTGGGTCGTGTCCATTGGATATTGTCTATGTGAATGCTTGCGGCACATTCACGGTTGAAGATGAAGGAATTTTTCTACTGAATCAGAAAAGCATGAGCTTTCGAATGTACAATGATTCTGTCTGAATCGTAGCATGAATAAAAAATCGATATATAGTACAGACAGGCCAGCGAGTGGGAAATTTGTAAATTACAGAAGAATGTTACTCACTTGGTACGCGTCTTTATGCTTTGATGTTTTGAGCAATGTAACCTGTCAAACTAATATAATACTCATACTAAATCTATAGGTGAAGATGAATCTCTATAATATTTACAATCAGTTGTAGACATAGAATACAGCATGTAAAAAAAACCGTTACGTCAGACATTTTATATGACAGCACAACCCAACGTAGAAACCCTTCCAGGAGGGAACATAATAGTAATATGGTGTATAACTAAAGACAAAGTCTATGATAACAGCATGTACGAATGGGTTGCACTTCTCATTTCAAAGCCTCTTAGTAAAACAATGCAGTCGTAACCACAAGGCACTTGAAGCGTTTGTCAACTTAAACACACGCCACCGCCATTGCGGCCAGCACACTGACACATAAATTAGTAGGGGGGGGGGGGTTTTCGATTTGCTTCCCAAGTATACCTGGTCTATCTCGGGCCAGCCGCCAAAATACTTACGATTTGCAGTCACGGTATTTTTTCCCCGTTACCCGGGTCAACCCCGGGGGAATGAATGTGAGCGGCTGCGCAGGTGCCTACTTGGGGGGGGGGCTTGGTAAGTATCCCAAGCCACATCCATTGCAACCATGCAACCATGCATGGTCGACAATATCAGTGCGGTATCAGTGCATAGATCAGTGCCTTGCATGAATGTAAGCAGTGGTGAATGACTGTGTATGTTTGCTCAAGAACGTGAGCTGGATAGGGGATGATGTTCTATTACTCGGACATGCTGCTCCTATCCTTGAGCCGGCTCATACTCTTAGATTTCATTAAAAAAAAAATAATAAGATTGCATTGTTATTCTTTTTTTCCTTGTCACTGGCATCCATGATATATTAATCCTGGGTTAACCCAGAAAACGCGTTCGTTATGCTCCCTAACCCAATGCGATTCGATTTCGTACCCAGGTTAACCCAAGGTGCTCTGGGGAACAAACGAAACGGCCCTAAAATAATATCCTGCGGTGCTGCTCGTGTTAGTACCGTTTCGGTATTCACATAATATACCAGCAGCCGATGAGATGAGGAATCGAATTTTCTCTCTGTGGCAGCACTGTAGCATGTCAGTGCTGACCATGGTGAAGATTGACGAATTGAGGGGTTTTTTCAGCGGGATTTTTCGGTGAGTTTGAACGTTTGCAGTTTTTTTTCAGCTACGAACACTCCCGGTAATAAGAGATGGCCCTGTGAAAATTCAATCCAATCGCTTGGCGTTTGGCCGCGCTATAGGAGTATACATACGATACATAAGTACATATAGACTACATGAGATACATACAACGAACTCAAATATATATTAGATATATATAACTATATATATATATATATATATACTATATATATTGATAATAATAATAAAACTAGGTTATATGCTACAATAAATATATATCCAATTTCTGATTATCTTATACATGGTATGATACAAGTCCTCATGCTAGTACATATAGGGTCATGGCTGTAGTGTCACAACCCAATGTCGTGTGCAACTCGGTTTGACAACATTTAACATGACTTCACAAATGCCGCAAGACATCATGTTGAAACTATCCAAATCAAGCCCAACTGAAATGACCTTTCTGGCAAAAAAAAAAAAAAAAAAAAAGAAAATATATACCAGGTATTTGTTTGGTTGTAGTCGCTTCTTTCAGGTAATGCTGCAGCTCGGAACTCAAACCTTGTGTCTGCTTCAGGGTCACAGCCGTGAGCTTTTCTGATATTTTCGGGTTCAGCTGTCAATTTAAACATGAGTAAAAGTTACCATTTAAAATAATAAATCACCTTTTGTGTACAGGATCCTGGCCGATTTGATAAGCTGTCGGCTTTAGCCCCTCTTTAGATATATTTGTCTAGCAAAGTTAAAACTAAAGCCAATAGCATTAGGAACTGTACTAAAGGGTTCTCCCATTTTTATATCTATTTGATGTTTATAATATGCCCACATACGTACATTGTGACAAAATAGCTCTAGGCCTCTAGGCGGATAGCAAATTGCTGATTTTGCTAATAGTGCCTTGCCTTATGAATTAATACTTATAGTGTATGTATATATATAATTATAATATAAACAGAAAGAGAAGGGGAGAGAGAGTGAGTGTAATGAATCCTAATGACGTTAATGTTAGATCAGAGTATAAATGCATTTACATTTCAGGATGACGGCACTGCAATGCTACTTTTGCCTTGGGCTGATCGGCTGAGCGTGGAACGGCGAAAAGCCTCTTGAATGGTTGTCTGACGCAGCTTTTTACTAGCGGCTCTCGGACGGTGAACGTCACGTTCATGTCAGCACTGCAGAGTACCCTTCCAAGTGTTTGCTGGCAGTAATATCAGTACTATAGGAATAGGGTATAGGGCCTATAATAGATAGGACGAACTCCTACACTAGTCTACAGTTCCATCCTGCATCTGTTTATACTTTAATTAATACTAGAGTGTGTGCCAGACGACTCACGCTTGCTTAGAGCTTCAACGACAACGTAGTCGCGTGAGAACAGGACGAATATCAAACGATACATATCTCAGATAGTATTGTATTGGTTCTGATCAATGACCAAGTGAAGCTGAGTAACTAACTGCACTGTGACGTCCCACCTGTCCGTGTTGAACTGCTGCATTAATATTTGCCTGCGAACACAGGATAATCGCAAGTTTATTTATAACTAACGACATAGGCTTGTATATCAGGCAAAATATTTAGCCATCCGACAACGTTTTTCGAACGATCCTCCCGCTGAAGTGTGCGATATTTGTTACCATGCGTAGAATTTTGGTAGCGAATTACATGGAGACGCCATTACTCTACTCTCGCAGGTAATCTCGCGATATGCTTCCTCTTTAGTTGTTTGCTGACAGTGAACATGGTTTTTGTTTCATTTTACGGTAAATCCAGTTTAATCGCCCGTTAAAAATTGTTTTATACGAACATGTATCTGTCACCCAATACTTTGTTTTTGTGTCTACGATATGATCCGCATTTTGAACTGCATAAGTCTATATTACTTCGTGAGACGGCGGCCTTGTAGTAAACATCGTTTGCCCGTATTGTTATCTACTGTTTATATTGGCAGAGTGGATACTACGGTCACGATCAGAACGCGAAAGTTCATCTGACGAAACGCCTCTGGCAGAAAGCAAAGGTAAGCGCTCGCTAACATTTAGGTGTTTATTTGTTTCTGGAGTATTCTCCTGTCAATCGGGTGTAATGTTGTGTCGCGTCCTGCGACAGCGTACTTGGCCACCTATTGACCTCTAAACTAATATCACATGAAGGGCACTTTCACGTCCCATATCCACATCTAACTTTATAGCGATTATAACGGGGCCCGTGTTTCCTTCAGAAATGGGAAGGGCCTTCCATGGAGAATAAAAAAGTTGGATAAAAACACGGTACTAACTTTGTATGCTTACACATAAACTTGTCCTATTAGGTAGGTATGGTGTGTCAGCAGCAGCAACAACACAACAACGCAGCCTAGTCCGATATTCCTCTGGGCCAATGCCCACTAGACGCCGACGCATTTTCGGTGGATTTGGTGTGGTTAGGTCAAGACACTTGCTATAGGCAAAACGTGAATTTCTCCTACAATCCCGCCGAGATCGCGTTTCAAGCATTACGCTTCCAAACTGCACAATTGGGGGCATCCAATCGCCGAGACCTGACGCACATAGATCGAAAACTGGATAACTTATATGCTTGCTCGCATTGGTAAGTACAGTTGTACTCTTTTACCTTAGTCGTATTTCGATTTGAGAATTTGTTGCTAACAATTTCCCCCCTGACATCGGCCATCCATCGTCCAATGCGTGACGTCAGGTGACGTGCGCGCAAGTGTCGGAATCGTGACGTAGCGACCGGCTCGAGCTGTCACGTGGTGTACACAAGTGTCTGAATCGTGACGTAGCGACCGGCTCGAGCTGTCACGTGGTGTACACAAGCACTCTGATCTCGAATGAATGAATGAATGAATGTTCGCTACGTCACGATTCCGACACTTGCGCGCACGTCACCTGACGTCACGCATTGGACGATGGATGGCCGATGTCGGAGGGAAATTGTTAGCAACAAATTTTCAAATCTAAATACGACTAAGGTAAAAGAGTACAAGTGTACTTACCAATGCGAGCAAGCATATATATAAGTTATCCAGTTTTCGATCTATGTGCGTCAGGTCTTGATTGATAGCCCCAATTGTGAGTTTGGAGCGATGAAACAGCGATCCTCGGCGAGATCGGAGAAATTCCACGTTTTGTATAGGCAAGTTGCTCTGACCTAACCCACACCAAATCCACCAAAATCGTTGGTGTGGGCATTGGTCATAGGAATCTCGGACTAACTGCAGCCCAGCTCGTAGTGTACTGAAATGTTGGTGTGGTGTTGACATGGTGTTACCTTATGATTTTCAGTAGCAGTAATATTACTAATAATATTAATAATGCCAGTAGGTTTGCGAAAAAGACTCGGTAAATGTATATGTACACATGAATTCAGGGGGTTTTGGGAAATAAAATGTATTAAATGATATATTTTGCGGTTTCGTTGACCGAGCTCGAATTTATTATTGAGGCCTGTTTTTTATGCACATCCCATTGTACACTTTATGTATTTATAGCTTATACACAGTTGACTATCTAGAATCAAAGTTCGTTCATTCAACATAACCATTGTACACACGAGTATTTAGGTGGGTGAGTTGTGGAGATGACTCATTCTTACTAGTGTTTGTATGTCAACGCCTACAATGCAATCTCACGTTTGGGTAGCTCTACCCTATTTTGCTATGTGATACCGCTAATTTCGTGCTGTGGAATCTTGAGTCGCCGTTCATTCATTCAACCCGTCGCTGGCAGGTGGTTGACGTCGTACACCCAGGCAGGGCGACGGTGCCGAAGACGGAGATCCGGGACAAGGTTGCACAGATGTACAAGACAACGCCCGACGTCGTCTTCGCCTTCGGCTTCCGCACACAGTTTGGCGGCGGCCGCACCACGGGATTCTCGCTCATCTACGACTCGCTAGACGCAGCGAAGAAGTTCGAGCCAAAGTACCGGTTAGCGAGGGTAAGTGTGTGTAGATCGTACACAGGCAAACAGAACATGCGGCCACGCATCGTCCTGTATAGTGATGGGAATCTGTTGGAATTTCATCATCGATCAAGGGATCATCGCTAGTCTTGTACGCATATGACATCCATTGACCTCTCACAGTGCTCTCGAGTCACACAGATCAATCTCCTTATGGTGAATGTTTTAACTAAATCCGTAGCATGGACTTTACGAGAAGAAGAAGGCCGCTCGCAAACAGCGCAAGGAAAGAAAGAACAGAATGAAGAAGGTTCGCGGCGTTAAGAAATCGAAGGTTGGCCACGGAAAGAAGGTAAGAGCGTCCTTCCTGCTTGCAAATAAAGAGAGTGAGTGTATGAATCCTAATGACGTAATGTTAATCAGAGTATAATGCTTTTACATTCAGGATGACCACTGCAGCTACTCTTGCCTTGCTGACGGCTGAGCGTGAACCGAAAAGCCTCTTTGATGGTTGTCTGACGCAGCTTTTTACTAGGTGGCTCTCGGGACGGTGATGTCACGTTCATGTCAGATGCAGAGTACCTTCCCAGTGTTGCTGGCAGTTAATATGCAGTACTATAGGGGTATAGGGCCTATATAGTACTAAAACTACTATATATATAGTACTATATAGTACAATTAGTAGTACGACTCCTACATTACAGTTCTTCCTGCATCCGTTTAACTTTATTTAATATAGTAGTAGTGTGTAGCCAGACGATATCGCTCTTGAGTCAACGACAACGGTAGTCCGTGAGAACAGGAACGAAATTCAACGATACTAATTACTATACTCAGATAGTATTGTATTGTGTCTGATCAATGACCAAGTGAATGCTGAGTAACACTGTGACTGTCTCACTGTCCGTGTTGAACTGCTACCATTAATATTTGGCCTGCGAATAGGATATTGCAGTTTATTTATAACTAACGACATAGCTTTATATCAGCAAGATTAGCCATCGACACGTTTTGCGAACGATCCTCGATGAAGTGTGCGATATTTGTTTACATCGGTAGGAATTTTGGTAGGAATTACATGGGAGACGCCATTACTCTACTTCTCGCGTAATCTCGCGATATGCTTCCTCTTTAGTTGGTTTGCTTGACAGTTAACATGGTTTGTTTCATGTTTACGTAAATCCAGTTTAATCGCCCGTTAAAAATTGTTTATCTAACATGTATCTGTCCTACCTAATACTTTGTTTTTGTGTCTACTATATGATTCGCATTCTGAACTGATAAGTGCTTATATTACTTCGTGAGACGGCGGCCTTTTAGTAAACATCGTTTGCCGTATTGTTATCTACTGTTTTATTTTGCAGAGTGAGACTACGGCCACGATCAGAACGCGAAAGTTCATGACGAACCGCCTTCTGGCAAGAAAGCAAATGGTAAGCGGCTTCGCTAACATTTATGTGTTTATTTGTTTCTGGAGTTTCCTCTGTCAATCGGGTGTAATGTTGTGTCGCGTCCTGCACATACTTAGCCCACCTAAACTATATCACGTGAAGCAGCATTTCACGTCCACATGCCACATTATACTTTATAGTTTTATACGCCGTGTTTCCTTCAGAAATGGAAGGGCTTCCATGGTAGAATAAAATAGTTGGATAAAAATGTATGCTTACACTATAACTTGTCTATTAGGTAGGTTGTGTGCACACACAACAAACACAACAAACTGCAGCCTAGTCCGAGATTCCTCTGACCAATGCCCACACCGACGATTTTGGTGGATTTGGTGTGGGTTAGGTCAGAGCAACTTGTCTATACAAAACGTGGAATTTCTCCAATCCCGCCGAGGATCGCTGTTTCATCGCTCCAAACTCACAATTGGGGCTATCAATCAAGACCTGATGCACATAGATCGAAAACTGGATAACTTATATATGCTTGCTCGCGTTGGTAAGTACACTTGATGCGCGGCAATGAATGATGGGACTAAGCTCTAGATCACAGGACAAGAAGCAACGTAACTCTGCACACAGCGTGATCGAGATGATGGCATTGCGAGCCCACGATCAAATGGACCGGCCAGATTATTTGTCACGCTCACAGATGTAAAAAACAACATTACATTGTTGTACTTAAAGTCCGTACGAAAGAAAATCGCTAAGTTTTCTTCAATTCTAGATGCGAGTTAACATCTGTAAAAGACATCTTGCGAATCTAGTACGAGAATACGAAAACAATTGTAAGGTTGGCAGGTTTGACAAGGCAGAACGGACGCTCGTTACTCTCTTCCGTGGCCACCTTCGTTTCTTAACGCGCGCAACCTTCTTCATTCTGTCTTTCTTCCTTAGCGCTGCGTTTGCAGCGGGACCTTACTTCTTCTCGTAAAGTGCCATGGCTACGGATTTAGTTAAAACATTCCCAACCTAAGGAGATTGATCGCCTGTGCTCGACTCGAGAGCGCGCTGTGAGAGGTCAATGGATGTCATTATGGGAGATGCGTACAAGACTAGCCACATGACCCCTTTGATCGATGATGAAATTCCCAACAGATTACCCATCACTAATACAGGACGATGCGTGGGCCCGGATGTTCGTGTTTTGCCTGTGTACGAACGGACGATCACACTTACACCATCGAGCTAACCGTACATTGTGCTCGAACTTCGTTCGCTTGGCGTCTAGCGAGTCGGGATGAGCGAGAATCCGGGTGGGCGGCCCGCGCGGGCAAAACTGTGTGCGGAAGCCCGAAGGCCGAGAACGACGTCGGGCGTTGTCTTGTAGCATTGTGCAACCTGATCCCGGATCTCCCGTCGGGCAACCGTGACCCTGGCCTGGCTGTTACGAGTTCAACTACCTGCCACGGACGGGTTGAATGAATAAACGCCGACTCAGATTCCACAGCACGAATTTAGCGGGTATCCTCCATAGCAAATAAGGGTATAGGCCTACCCAAACGTGAGCATTGCAATTGTAGGCGTTGACATGACAAACACTAAGTAAGAAATGAGTCATCGTCACAAACTCAGACCTAAATACTCGTGTGTACAATGTTCTATGTTGAATGAAAGAAATTTCGAGTTCTTAGATAGTCAACTTGTAGTAGGTACAGCTATAAATACAAGAAAGTGTGTACAATGGGATGTGCATAAAAAAACAGGCCTCAATATATAAATTCGCAGCTCGGTCAAACGAAACCGGCAAAATATATGCATTTAAGTACATTATATTTCCCCGAAAACCCCCTGGAATGTCATGTATACATATACAGTTTACGAATCTTTTCGCAACCTACTGCGCATTATTAATATTATTAGTAATGATACTGCTACCTGAAAATCAGAAGGTAACAACCAGGTTCAACGACCACACCAACATTTCAGTAGCACTACGCGAGCTGGGCCTGGAAGTAATCGCGAGATTTCCTCAATGACGCAATGCCCACAACCGACGATTCTTGGTGGATTTGGTGTGGTTAGGTCAGAGCATAACTTGCCTATACAAAACAGTGGAATTTCTTCGATCCCCGAGCAGGATCATTGTTTAATCGCCGCTCCAGAACTCACAATTGGGCTATCAATCGGAAGACCTGACGCCACATACAGTCGAAAACTGGATAACTGGTAGTATATGCTTTGCTCGCGTTGGTAAGCTACACTTTGCACTCTTTACCTATAAGTCGTATTTCGATATTGGAAAATTATGTTGCTAACAATTTCCCTCCGACATCGGCCATCCATCGTCCAACGTGACGTCAGGTGACGCTGCGCAAGCAAGTGTCGGAATCTTGACGGTAGCGCCGGCGTCGCTCAGCCTGTCCAACGTGTGTATCACAAAGCGCTGCTGCTCTTCGAATGAGGATGAATGAATGCGTTCGCTACGTCACGCATTCGACACATTGCGCGCACGTCATCCTGCACGTCACGCACTTGTGGACGATGGGACTGGCCGATGGTCCTGAGGGAATTGTTAGCAACAAATTTTCAAAATCGAGAATACGACTAAGGTAAAAGAGTACAAAGGTGTACTTACCAACCGCGAAGGCAAGCATGATATAATACAACAGTTACCAGGTTTTCGTCTACTGTGCGTCAGGTCTTGGATTGATAGCCCAATTGGTGAGTTTTGGACGATGAAACAGCGACCGTCGCGCAGCGATCGGAAATTCCACGTGTTTGTATAGCAAGTGTGCCTCTGACCTAACCCACACCAATCCACCAAAGAATCGTTGGTGTGGGCATTGCGTCAGAAGGAATCTACACCCGGACTAGGCTGCAGTTGTGTGTTGTTTGTTGGTGTGCACACAACGCTACCTAAAGAGACATATTGATTAGTGTAAGAGTACAAATTCGACAGTGGCTATATCGCCCCGTGGCAGCCGCGCGGTATTTATCTGACGGCTGCCGCGGCACGGTCTCCTTCGGATTTCCTAAATGGCCCGGCAGTTTTTTAATTTTTAGTGCGTAATCTCAAGTAAACAAGGGTTAGGCGTTTAGAGTTAGGATGGGTTAGGTTAGGCGTTTAGGTTAGTAGCGGCTAGAGTTTAAACCGGGGTCGAAATTCAGATTTTTATTATGGGTATCCATTCGGCGAGTAGCCAGGTAGTGAAATCTTGGATTCGCCCCCAAAAGATCTGGTATCCCGGATTTTTTTGGGATAGTAATTTCACAATGTTGGTATCCAAGAATCTTGAAATATGCAATATAGCATTTGAAATATAATATGTAATGTAATTCATTATATAAGAAGTCTCGGCTCCGCCGGTTGCCTAATCATTAGTGGGCTGAGGGTGATTCGCGAGCATTTCATGATTACCATAGATTATATAAACACAGGGTGTTATGATATATATATCTATGATTTTTTACATTACGCCTTTCACAGTACACTGGCAGACGTATTGTCTAGCGCCATTGTCTGGTTCCTTGAGTACAATCATGCATACAGCATGTAATACACAGTTCACAAGTGTGATGATCAACATCGGCCACGGCTTGGCGCTTGGCAAATATGCTATGGCCTGCTGTAAAAAACGCTAGTGTGCGAATAGTCTAAATTAAGTTAACTTAGGCGCGCACTCGCGCTCGCTTCAGATGCGGCGCCGTATAAAAGAGTTTGGATAACTCAACATACCACTTATCCGGATTATGACGATTTTTTTTTTACTATCCGCGGCGGATACCAAGCATCCCGCAAATCTGGTATCTGCCAGCAAGATCTGTATCCATGGCATATCTGACGATCACCGCGGATATGGATACGTCTTTCGACGCCCTGAGTTAGGCTTTTGTCAGGTGTTTAAGAACTCGCATTTTAGAAATACGAAGACTCAGTGCACGGGCCTTCGCCGGTTTTGCCACAGCGTACAAAGTTAGTACATCGGGTTATCGAACTCATTTTGACGCCTCTACATGGAATGCCCTTCCAGTTTCTTGAAGGAAACACGGCCTTTCGTATAAACAACTATAAAGCTATAATGGTGGCATGTGACGTGAATGCTGCTTCACGTGATATAGTTTAGGTTGGGCTAAGTATGTGGCAGGACGCGACACAACATAACACCGATTGGACAGATGGATACCCAGAAACAAATAAACACGATAAATTGTTAGCGAGGCCGCTTACCATTTGCTTTCTTGGCCGAT